TAAGTAGTCTAGAGTCTAATCCATTAAGTCTAGATTAGTCCAATTTAATATATCTTATTGATGTTTAATCTATTCAAATTAATTTTGATTTAAACGGGTCCAGTCCAAACCTGATTCATTGACATCCCTAATAAATTTTAGTGTTAAAACGGTCCATTAACTCAAGTGGTGGCTTAATGGTCAACAGAGACACCGCGCCACTGGTCCGGACTCACTAAACCAATCCAGATTTTTGTGATCGTACGACATTAAGACAGTCGAAATTAGGAACAGGAGCACATGTTGTACGGGTAACAATGGACCTACGGTTACAGGAAACATCATTTCCATGAAAAACAACCTACATTGTGTGATCCAAAACCTGCGACGTCGCATTCTTCCTTTCCTTTTGGTCTTTTAGGAACTAACCCAGAAAAGTTGGGGATGAGATCCAAACAGATAATAATAAAAGAGCAGTCCTGATGCCTGTCCTACGTTTACAGTGATCTAATTGTCACCTTCTATATTCATATTACTACGACGGGTCAATAATAAAACATCAGTCTTCATGCCTATCCTACTTATTCCTAGACCAACCCAATATTTTTCGGGTTAGGTTGGATTTGGACTGAAGTAAATGGTTTATAAAATTTAATGATCGTCCCTTAGCCTTGAGTAAAGCTTCCGACTAAAAAAAATATGGGTTCAATTATGATTTTAAAAAATAATTTGAAAATGGAATCATTTTGGTTACTGATTTTCGGATCAACGATTTGACTGTTCAGTTTGGATGGATGAACTGTTTTAACCAAATAACTAAAAATAAAAAATAGTTAAAAATTATTGAACGGGTCGATAATTCGACCACCCAGATTAATGAATCATTGAGTGATTTAACTGTTTTTTACCAGAGACCGGATTTGGGATAAAACAGAACCAATTACCTGAACAATTCTCGGACTGAACAATCTGACCGTCTGAATCACAGCAGTTCAAAAACCATGGGTTCGATTATGATATATACCAAAAAACTTGATAACCTATCAACCATTATTGTTATAAAAGTAGGAACCAGTTAGATGGTTATTTATCAAATTGAGAGAAGGGAGGGATTAATTGGTTAAAGTCTTTCCAATATCATGTCTCTTATGCAGCAAAAAATTTCACACACATATGTATATATTCGTATGTATAATTGCATATATGGTTCAAATGGGGTTGATTTGCCCAAGAAAAACCCTAACCCAAACTTCAACAAACCAACCAAATTAATTAACCTGACCCAAGTTTACTCTTTATCATATGCCCACACAACCAGTCGATCGAGGATTCCAATAGCAACTCGTCTAGATAAACGGGCATTGGATTTCCACACCCAAAACATTTCTTCACCGAATATCGTAGCACAAAGACATCTGAATCGGTATGGGTCTCGCCAATTTTCATTTGTCTTTTGGAGAAGGCTATATGTCGTTTTATAAACAATAATCGACCGTGTCGCTTTATAGGCAATGGTTGTATTCTTATCAACAAATCACAGAATACTGATTATAACAAGAGAAAATAGACAAATAATAGACCATTAAATCATCCGTTACGTACGTTGAATCAGCATTCAGACATGATAGGAGCCTCAATGGGGTTGGGGGCCTATATTTTTCAGCACCTTATAATTGGTTGCATTGTATTGTGCTCTGTAATTGTTTATCAAAACAATACTTTCCACAACTACAAATGGGCTCTGCATTCTTTTTCTTTCTCTAGTTTCAGTTTTAGTCATTACATTTAGCCCATTTTTTCTGCCAAATTCCAAGTTCCAACAAATTAAATCATGGATACCATCCAAACACCCAAGCCAAATCATGGTACCAGTGGTGGACGACAAACACATCAGAGAGGACTCTCACTTGAATTGTTTTTTTTTTTTTTTAATTAATTTGCTGCTTGATTTGAATTGTATGAAGGTTGCTTTTTCTTTATGGAAAATGCTCCCCCTTGAGGTGTTGATTAGAGACCAACACTAGAGTGACCCCTCCGCTAATTTGTCCATTAATGGAGCATGTCTTTGTGTCTGGTTTACTTTGATTCATGAACCGTTGTCAAAAAAAGAGAATAGGCTGTCAAATGGAACCAAAAATGGAAATCAGAAATAAAACAATTAAGGGTGTTTTATAATGTGAATGCTTTGTTTTCATTTGTTTTGGATATCCTTACATCAGCAAAAAATAAAAACATATTTTTAATTGAACAGGTGGGCTAGGCTTAACATGAGCCAATAAAAATTAAACATATCATGTGACAACAATTTTAGTGTGATTGGTCGAAAGTTTGATTTAATGTGTTACAAATATTTATTAATGTGTCATTCAACGATTTCTATTGAGACCAGCCAATTAGTGGGCTGGGCTAGCTAACTTGGTTGTAATCAAGAAAAAGGAAAGAAAACACTGGTTTGAACTTTCATCCATACCATGGTTTTCAAAACTGGACTGGTCGGATGGCTGGGCCGGAAAAACCAGAAACCAGCCAGGTGATTGGTTCCGTTTTACCCAGAACCATTATTTTGCCTTAAACCATTGACTTGGTCAGTAAACTGCTGATCCAAGTGGTCTAACCCTCTGAACCGTCCAATGGTTTGGCCATTTTTTATTTTTTTATTAGAATGGCCCATCCATTTGATTTGAACGGTCGAACCATTCAACCCGGGAGCCAGACCCCTAACCGGTTCATTGTTAGGTTCAGTTTTAAAAACCTTGATCCATACGTGAACCATGTCCCAACCATCCTGTACCACTACAAAGACATTGAAATTTTGATATATGTCACAAAGAAATGAAAAGAAAATAGAAAAAAAAAAACTAAACTCATGTTTGAGAGTAATTACTTGATAAATAAGTGCTTATTTGATACTTGCTTAAAAATAAGTGCTTATCTTAATAAATATTCGAATTTGGTGAAAAAACACTTTATTATTTCAAATAAAGGTAGTATAAGTATTTCCAAAGTGATGTGACGGGCCAAGACTGTATTTGGGCTTGTTGAATAATTGCTTATTTTCAGGGATTAGTAATTATTTGGATTTATTTCTTAAACACAGATAAGTGCTTATTATAGGTGTGATCCGTCTCAAATAAATGCTTATTTGAATAATCACTTCCGGGCTAAATATTTTTAATTTCTCCCTAAATAATTAAAAACGATAAATTAAAATTTACTTTCTTTTAGTTTCTCTTATTTACAAATAAATTAAAATTTTAGTTTCTCTTATTTACAACCTAATTTATCTCTAATTAATTTTAATTTTGATTTTTCTCCTTTACACTTCCCTGTATATCTCTGCATTCAAACTCAAGTAGTCAATCATCCCCACGTTGATCTACCTAATAGCATATAAGGGCAACTTTTGGGGTTTAATATCAATAAAAGTAATATATTTAAAAAAAAATACAAAAATAGGTTAACTTTTTAAAAATAATATCAATAAAGGGCAAAAATACTGTTCATCTTCTTCTTCTTGCCATTTGTTCACTAGAGCCGCCGTCCACCGCTGCCGCCTCCACCCACCTCCACCTCTGGCAACGTTGCTGGAGGTGATCGGAGGCAGAGGTAGCTGCGGCAGCACTAGTGATTTCTCTGTCCAACGCCGCCACCTCCGCCTCCACCTCCAGCAACGTTGACGAAGATGGGTGGAGACAGAGGTGGCGGCGGCGGTGGGCAGAGGAATGACCACCAACACCGCTGCCGCCACCTTCGACAACGTTGCCGGAGGCGGAGGCAGAGGTGGCAATGGCGGGTGATGGTGGGTGACGAACGATGGTTCTGGTGAACAAATGGCAAGAAGGAGAAGATAAAAAATTTCAAAAATAGGTTAAATTTTTAAAAATAATATCAATAAAGGGCAAAAACATTGTTCATCTTCTTCTTCTTGCCATTTGTTCACCAGAGCCGCCGTTCGCCACCGCCGTCCACTGCCGCCCGTTGCCACCTCTGCCTCCGCCTCCGGCAATGTCGCTGGAGATGGGTGGAGACAGAGGGGGCGGTGACGACGAGTAAAGGAATGACCACCAGTTTCGCCGCCGCCACCTCCGACAACATTGCCGAAGGTGGAGGCGGCAGCAGGCGGTGGCGGGCGGCGAGCGGCAGCAGACGACGGTTCTGGTGAAGAAATGGAAAAAAGAAGAAGATGAACAGTGTTTTGCCCTTTATTGATATTATTTTTAAAAAGTTAACCTATTTTTGAATTTTTTAAATATATTATTTTTATTGATATTAAACCCCAAAAAATTGCCCTTTCTAAGGTACTGGAGCTTAATTAGTTTCTATTAAAAAGATAAATCAGCTCAACTCAATCAAGTACATGAGTTCTGTTCCGCCATTTAGCTCTGTCAGTGTCGTATCCAGTGGTAAATTGTGGGCAGTTAGATTATGGGTTCTAAATCGGAAATATATATATATATATATATATATATATATATATATATATATAGCTTATGTCCATAGCCTTTGATTTTGATAAATCGACTGAAAAAGAAAAAGAAAGAAGGGGACGAAGAGATTGACGTTTCAGCTTACGATTCCCTGAAATGGAATTAACTACTGCCTTTTGAACAAGTCCGGATCTCCTGCTCACAAGAATTATGTTCACGTTTATCGCAGCCACACATGGAGAATATCTCATCCTCTACATAATATGTTCACGGAGGTAGTGTGTTATGAGTAGAGGTGGGCAGAATTTTCGTGGGCAAGAGATCCGAAGTCCCTTTGAACTTACTGTTCCATAAAAGGAAATAGTTGTTTTCTGCTTTATCAATCCTCGGATATGGTGAGAACAAAACTGGGTTGTCTTCTTTGTAGTGGATAAACAGAAAGCGACGAAGCAAGACGCCGAGGAGGCCCGGTTGGAGCTGTGCGGCGGGGGAGACAGCAAAGAGTGGAATTCTCTCAACTTGGGACGTGGCAGATCACCGTCAAAACCTTTCAAGCACAAAAGCTCTCCGTTCTCAATCCAAGTGGCAACATCTTTAAATCCCCCCTGGTTCAGACGTCGGGCATTAGCAGGGTCTAGCTGTTGTGGTTCTGCCGGAAGCTATTTCAGAGTGATCTTGGTTTAAGGTCTTTAGCGGAACGAAACAGTCGAGATGTTTCCTCGAATGTGCATTAATCTGGAGATGTTGCAGTCCAACAAATCCACGTAAGTCTTTTCACAAATTAACTGACTTAATTACTTGTTTCGATTACTGTATCAGTTTTTCTTCTTGATTATTCTCTGTGCATTCATGGTTGATAGTAGGACATGCGAGCTGAGATTAGGTTCAACCCCAGCTCATTTTACGTGGTAGCTATATGATAATATCATATATAATACATGTTCTAACAATATTAAGATTCTCCTCGCCCGCTGTTCTAGGGATCGATTTTCTACCGATTTTGCAGAAATCAGCAGAATCGACCAACCAAACAGGATTATAATCAGTGATTCTTCCGTGGCTGACGTGAATCCCACGTGACGTCGATTACTGGGAAATCGGCATCGATGCCAAACATCACCCTAATTGTGTAATTTTATGTTTTAGAGTTAAAGTTGTTCGACATGAATCAAAATTATTTGAATCGTGTTGCAGCAATTTTGATAGAATGAAAGAAGGAAGCGGTGCAATTCATCGATCATTTTGCAACGTTGCCTATTAGAGGAGGGGAAAAGATTGTTCTGCGACTGTGGTCGCATGACAGTGTGCGTCACTGTCGTAGCAAAAGTGAACCTGAGGTTCCCAGAGACGGAGCTCATGTCATGTCATGTGAACCTGTCCCGTCGGTCTGAGCTCTGAGGGCCGGAGTGTTCCTCCTCCCAATGCAGCCATGAAGTTTTAACTTCACGTCAATGGAGCCAAAGTGAAATCCAAGCTATATCCTAATCCAATAGCTTCAATCTTAGGATCACAACTGAGACTCTCCTCCTCCAATCACTCCACGGGTTCTTGTCAAGTGGGTCTAAGTCGATGAATGACTCTCTTCTGCAGAGTAGCTTCATGCTTTCATCAGCTGAGGCTCTACTGGTGAGAAGTATTATAGAATAATAGACATACAGAGTATCTAACTCACCCAGTGATCACAAATTTTTCAATGTCAATACCAAACTTTCATAGAATTCTCGTGATATCTATCAGCAGAGTAACATCACAAATTCACAAATCACAATGGCTGTGACACAGTATCGTACTTGAATTTGATATGGGTCGGTTTTACCCTCCCCATACCCAAACTGACAATGATTGAGACTCTGACCTGAACCCAATTTTTATTGTACAACCAAAAAAAAAACCATTACCATTTATAGGATCAGATTAAGGCAGGTTTAATCATTTAACCATATTGGTCTGGCCAGACAAATTGACATCTCTAAATCTGACATGTGGGGTCAGTCACCATGGATGGTTTGAACTCTTTCCACTGTCCTCTACCCATAAAACTCTAAGGCTGTGTCTGGAATTCCATAGAAATCCTTGAAAATTTTCCCTCAACGCCAAGATAGGCAATTCCCCTTGATTTTAGAACTATAATAAAATAAGAGTAAGTTATTAATCATGCATGTTGTGGAGCTTTAAGTAGGTTCTGGAGCCAAGGCTCTTTTTGTCTAAAGTGTCTGAACCAAATATAAATTTTGTACGTGGTTCAATATTACACCCATTTATTTTGTAATTATAATTTGCACTCTTATCTGATACAAAAAGTAAACTTTTTGTTGCATCTGCACTCATTGACAGTGCAAAATTTGCACAACTTTCCTCCCATCTCAATTCTCTCTCATATAATGTAGGGATCACATCATCTTCCCACCACTCCTAAACAAATAATCATCTTCCTACCTCCAAGGTGGGGACCCTTTCATTTTAATTCTCACAAATAAATTAGAATTCCATGTATTTACACTAATACAAATATGTACCGTTCATGAAATATAAACTTAATTTAATTTTGCATTGATAAATTTTATATTCTTACCAAACAAATTTGATTGTGATGGGTACAAACACCAATTCCACAATTGAAATTTAAACTTTTATTCGCCAACTTTGCTCCTATTTTGAATGCAAATATGTTAGAAAAAATAATTTTCAGTACAAAACATATTCTTATGCTGAAAAACTGAACTAAAATATAAATTCACTTTCATTAGAGTTTGCACTCTTACTAAACACATGGAAAAGAATCTATAATTAGTAGGTATATGATTTCTTTAGGAGAATGTGGACACTTCTCATAAGAATATAAGATCATCAGCAGTTCTGCCAGTCCAATCACTAAAATGGGCAGGGATAGGACTAGGTTTCTCTACCATGGCTAAAGTCAAAAGACAGCCCAAAGTGGATTTCACATATACTGTGTTCCTTCACCCTTTGTCTAACTGTGTGATGTTATCAAATGTTGTATGGTTTGGGGTAAAAGCTTGGAATTTGGGCCAAAAGAGTAAATCAATCTTGGGCCGTACTACTCTATGAGTTGCAATTTGTCTTTAATGGGTAGGAGTGCAATTGGATAGTCACAGGTTGGGCCTTTGTCAAATTTTGAATGGACCTGACTTAGAGGTCAGAGCCCGAAATAGTGTAAAATGACAACTGGGGCTGGCCCGAGTTGCACCCCTAGAGGGTGAAGAGCCCAGACCGAGTGACCGGCCATTATAAAGGTGCTTTAGCCAAACGAAAATAAAATTGGAAATGATAGAGTAGTGTTTGTTTATCCATATTTTTCCAAGGAGACGATTGAAGAAGAAAATCAATGAAGCTTTTACAAAGCTGAAAAAAATATCCATAGATCTGATGATGGCTAAAAGATTAAGTGACCTAAAGTCTTTTGGTGGTATTGTTGTAAGTTCTTACGATCAATTTCATCCAATGATGGCCTGAAGCAGGGGTAATAAATAATAATAGGCCGGGCTTAGCACCTATGATAAGAGTTATAATCCAGGCCCAGGCCAGGGGCCTGGTTCCAGGCCTATGACTTTAAATATAAAATATGAAATATGTATTATAGGTGTAATAAGTACTGGTCAGTCTGGGTTCAGTGGGCTCGGCATAAAATCTAGGCTGAAGCAGAGAAATTTCTAGGCTGGGGCTGACCGCTGAACCCCCCTATAAATAATGACCCTTAGTCTGACTGTCTAAAGTCATCCATTTTTGGCATGGTCTGGGATCAAATTTTTTGGCTTTGGGTTGGACCTGATCTGAAAACTCGGGCTTGACCTTGTTTTCTATATTTATTCCATACATGAATGTATATAGTGTATTCATGTCATGTATGCATTAAAACATATTTACGCTATTATGTATATTTTAGAGTGTAATAATATTTATGTCCTTATCTGGGGCCCACTTTACATGCCAAAAAACCTATGCTATAATATCTATTTTTTAGTGTTTGTAATACACATATTCCTTTTCGTATATAAGAGATGGTTTTCAACCCATGCCCAAATCCAAATGAACTCCCTTAAGCCCGAGCTCAGTCCCAATTTTGTTGGGTTTAGTTTGGGTTGGGCCATAGTTGGCAAACTCAGGGTTTGAGCCCATAGTACTCATCTTAGAGATGGATTTGGGTTGGCTTTAAATCACACCCAAACTGCCTAAGTTATACATCCTCAGTCCCATGTCCTCAAGTGGTTCCAATTTATTAATGTGCATGTCTATACACAAATGCAGGCAGAAACATGGTGACCTGTGGTGTCATAATTCCTAGCTGAGTAACTATTGCTATTTAGCCTATTTTGCTATCAATTAAAACCGAAACTGAGGGGATGTTCTCCAATCTGTACTGTTTTATTTTTTATGATTTCAAGAAAATTGGGCCCTGTGGTTTTGGTTTGAAAACATTAGTTTCTTAAAACAAAATCGCAGAATAGATTTTCTTGGCTGTATACCATTTTTTATTTATAAAAACGAAACCACAGACATGTTCTGAAAATTTTGGATTTTCAAAAACAATTTTTTTTTGTCTGGTACTTCTAATATTTTATTTCATAAAGCATACAATAATTAGACAAAGATTCTGATTAAATAGATAATAGTGCATTTTCTTATTTTTATTCTGTATTTATATATCTATACTTTTGAACTAAGCTTTAGTGATGATCATTTTGCAGCCCTGCCCACAAATATATGTGGATTATGATATACATTTCATATTATAATCTAAAATTGTAGGCCTGGAACCCGATCCAGGCCCACGTAGGCCTAGCCCTGGGTTCATAATTCAGGCCCAGATTCCAGGCCGGGCAGGACCTGGGCTATATAGCCCTTACCATATATATGCGCTATGCCCGTTCCATGACCACCCTACTATGCTTGTTTAAAATTGGATTGTATAATCCAAGGAGTTTTAGAATTGCACTTTGAAGGGTCTGGAGAAGTCTAAAAGAATTGAATAATGTCCTCAACAGCCAATATGACCTCTCTGAAAAGTAAAAATCATGTACACACCCTGAGAGTAAAAATCAAAGAACAAGGTTAAGTAGGGTTGAACTTGTGTGTTTTGTGTCTGCACTTAGGGGTGCAAGTCGAACCAGGTTAAGTAGGGCTGATGTCAACCCTAACCCAATTCAAGTTGTTGAAACCCCCAACCCTAAAACTTTGGACTGGGTTCGAACTAACCCAGCCCGAGTTTGGAGCCCAGTGTTGTATTTTGTGTGTGTCTTGATTCGAGCAAGATTAGGGTTGGGTCGAGGTCAACCCTAACACTTTGGATTGGGTTCGAACTAACCCAGCCCAAGTTGCAGCTGTGTTATATTGTGTGTATTCTTGATTTGTTGGTTCACATACCCATGTCTTCGGCTCTTTGCTGTTGTATGGAATTCATATGAACTTACGTTAGACAGTCAATTTTTTCCGCTACTTGGTATCGTTAGCGGGTGCTTGAACAATAATGGGTGAATATGCTAACTGAATGACTTATTTCTTTGCCGTTTTACAAAGAAATAAGCTTTTCAATTTGGCAACAGGCCAATAGCCTCTAACCTCACTGGACGGTTGGATCAAGCTAGAGACTGAATTGAAGATTCTACCTGCCACCACACCATTTGGAGAGAATGTTCCTGAATAAACCAATGGGCTTGTTCAGTACAATTGGATCTTAAATGGGGCCCACAGTAAACATTAGTGTGTTCAATCGTGATAGATAGTTCCGCCGGGTGTGTATAATTTT